CACACACACACACACACACACACACACACACACAGATTCTCCTGTCTATTATGGGAGCGCCACCTGCTGGAAACTGGGTCCAGCGTCCCATGAACGTCGTGAATAAAGCACCAACCGGGACTCCACACACACTCTCTTCGAGTTGTGTATAGTGAACATGACAAAACATACATACAACATAATCACTACCTTACCCTTCCCGAACCACATAAACAAACGAACTACGGGCTGCGCACCCGTGCCCTCACGGTAAGTCAATGGATGAGCGCGCGCCTCTGTGTGTGAGTATGTGTGTGTGTGTGTGTGTGTGTGTGAAAAAAAAAAAAAGAAAGAGAGAGAGAGAGAGAGAGAGAGAGAGAGAGAGAGAGAGAGAGAGAGAGAGAGAGAGAGAGAGTGCCCGTACAAAACTAAGGCCACGGTGAATGGAATACGTCACTCAACTGCGCGAATTCCAAAATTGCCACTGAGACATGGCCAAATCCCTGAAATGCCACTCTCCGTTGCACTATGAAAATTTCGTGGTTCTCTAATTCGTTTTCTATTCCTTGGCTGCACCCGTACTTAGAGCAGTGACAGAGAGAGAGGGAGTAGAAAAGAATGAATATACCTGTCCACATTTTTCGCTTAAGATCATCTTCACCCTAGATTTTCGACTGATCGTGCTGCCCCAAGACGCACTGAGGACTTAAATTTGGCTGCAACTGTACCTTTCGCAGATCTTGATGAAGATTCGTCTCAACTTTGTCAGGTGAGTTAGGGGGCAAGGCCACAGATCACCATGGTGAATCCTCCGTCGTTCTTGCTGAAGATTCATTCCCATTTCACGATTGGTTAGTGAACCGCGGGCCACCCAGATGAGAAAGGGGAAACATGACGTCTCATGCTTAGGCTGAAGATTTCATTTTCCACAGTGCACAGAATGTCGGTGTATTTTTCCCACACTCTATTTGAGGATTCAGTGTAATCATGTGTCGTCCCTTTCACCGACGGACAGTGAACCGAGCTGGGTGACCACTCAGTGAACCGCTAGGGGTGAAAGTTCAAATCCTTTGTTTATTACTTAATTCAATTTACTACCTATATTGACAAGGACCCAGCAGGCTACTACGGTACAAGTGAACTCAGGGGAGCCGTACACCACTGAGACAAGTACAATTTACGAACAAGTAGAGAAAACCTGCTAACGAGAGAGACAGTCATCCCATTCTGATACAATTTACGAACAAGTAGAGAAAACCTGCTAACGAGAGAGACAGTCATCCCATTCTGAGCGAGACTTAGTTCGTTCGGAAACCCATTCAGAGCAGTACTTGGCCTGCTCAGCAAGTAAAATACTCAGCCAGATTCAGACATTTACTTGGCCTGCCCAGTCAAACACTCATCTTACCAGTCGAGTATCATTTACCGAGCCATTTACTGAGCCATTTACCGAGCTGAATAGATGCAAACTAGATTCCCGCTGCAGTCCAACTCTCAGTACACTTAGCGACTCCACAGTCTCAACAGCTTCAAGTTGAGACGCAGGAGGAACGGGAACAGCAGCAGATCTCAGAATCAGGAAACGGGACAGCAGCAGAGAAGAATGACCAGAACCGACGCTCCAAAACCTGGCCGAGAGGAACTGAGCTTGGACAGGCTAGAGAACAGGTCAGATTTAAGTGGAATTGGGGTTTGGGCGATCAGGCTCAAGCTAACAGGCAAAACGCACTAGGTGCATCGCACCCAAGTACTCAAACAGGGGAACTGAGCCTGCGCCCAGGCAGTTCACAACCAGAACGCAGCACAACGCAGACTTGGCAAGAGAGCATTGAACTGAGGGACTCAGCCTGCTGGTCTTGGTCAACTTGGACCAGCAGAAGCTGGGCCAACAAACAGATATCAGGTGAAACAGAAACTGCAAGCTCAGGACTCAACCTGTAGGATTCAGCGGACTTACATTCAATCAACTGACTCCTCAAGCTCAGAAAAAGAACTTACCAAGGTCTGGACTCGGACATGAGTTTGAGCTGAGATCAGTGAGACATCAGGACGGTCAGCAGGTTATTGGAGTAGGGATCTGATTGCAATGTGACAAAGTAATCAGAAAGCGTTTGAACTTTTCGGACTTCGGCATCAGGCTTAGAAGACTCGGTCACACAAGACTCCAGGCTGAGAACAGTTGCCTACCACAGTTGAGAGACTGACAGTCCGAGCGTTAATTCCTAAGGACGATGAACTGTTGATGATGCTGCAAGTGGAGAAGAGGAACTAATAGGGGAAACGAAAGGAGATCGATTGACACTCAGGAAAAAAAAAGCACCCTAGTTATGTCAAAATTTGTGCGAGACCAGACAGACTTTGATGTGATGAAATAGATAGTCACGGGGTGACAATTTCAGCGATCCTGCTCATTTCGTTCTTACCTTCTCATTTGGCTGACTTTGCATTTGGGTTTATCAGTGCTAACCACATTCTTTGCAGGTAGTAGGAGCCACAAACAACCCTCCCGTGGGTGACAGACACGAGGTTGAACGAAGGGTTGATTCGGCGTGCTGGCAGATCCCTTCTACCGGTCGACACCGGCCTACCTGCTACTTGAGTGTTTTTCCGCTGCTGTCCCGGGCTTTTTTCCACCCGCTGCAACCGTCAATGTCACGGCCACAGGTAAGTACTGGCCGTTTGGGCCTCCCGTATGGACGAATACCCTTGGACGAATACCCTTGCGGGTCACACACACAATCAAACCGACAAGCACGAAGACAGGCACACAGACCAGCAAGACGCACACACACAGACTTAGAAAACTCTGCAACAAGCGGGAAACTCAGCAAGGCATGCATTCAATTGGCAAAACTCAGAATCAGCTGTGTGTCTCAGTCCATGTTTGACAGGTCCTTACAAAACAAAATCAATCAACTAAAACAGCCCAAGCAAACGAAATAAGCAAGAAAAAACAAAGCAAAACAAACAAGCCAAACAAAAGACGGGACCGGTCTTATCCCTCTTGCCAGTTTCGGATAAGCGGACATCATTTCTCTTTATTTTGTCGAACTGCAGCGAAGATTTTGCCAACGATTTGACTCCTGCAACTTTCACAGAAGCTCCATCCATGCTCTTTGGAGATTTCGTTGGTCCACGTGGCACATCCAGACGCGTGTGCCGGGGCTTTCAAGAACTGCACGTGGTTTTCCGTTACCACTACACCAGTCGTTCCAGGGTGCCGTCAATATCCGAGCAGTATCTACAACAGATCGACGAACAAGGAGAAGGGATAGAGATTCACAAGGGGGTATCAACTCAGGAGAACTTGCAGGTACTCCCTTTCTCTCCGTCCTCCTCAAGCTCCTCCTCCTCCTCCTCCTCCTCCTCCTTGTCAGTACTGCACTCATTGTCATCGTCATCCTTCTCTTTTTTTGTCTTCTTTTTTCCCTCCTCTGCATCCTCCTCATCATCATTACTGCACTTGTTGTTGTAATCATTCTTCTCTTCTGTTTTTGTTCTTCCTCCTCTCCTCCTCCTCTCCTCCTCCTCTCCCTCCCCTCCCCCCCCTCCTGGTCCACTTTCCTCTTTGTACTTTTCTTCGTCCTCTTCCTCCCCCTCCCCCCCCCCMCTTTCCCCGTTCTCCTGTTTCTTCCCCCTCCTGTGGTTTGTGGCTTTCTCTCGTCATTCACTGCTGTTTCTGCCGCTGCTGATTTCAATGCTGATAAGGCTGAGGTGGCTATTGCCACTGTTTTGCTGCTACTGAGTACTGGGTTGCTGATGCTGTCGTACCATGCTGAGGTGGCTGTTGCCACTCTTTTGGTTATGCTGTCGTACTGTGCTGAGGTGGTCATACCCTGCTGAGTTGGTCGTACTATGCTGAGTAGTCGAACCATGCCGAGGTGTTTGTACCATCCTCCGGATGTTACTTGTGAGGATTGTTGCACTGTTTTGGCTGAGTGGTTCGCATGCTGCTGGCCAAATCAGATATGGAACCAATTAAAGATACCCAATTAAAGACATCAAATAAAGATTGCATCTTTGATTGGCTTGAGATTTGATGTTGACCGGTGTGGCCCCTCACTTTTGCCATTCAGCTTACTACATATTTGAATTGTTGGTACCTCATGGAACTTACGGGGCTTAACTGTACGTAGTTCACGGGACTGGTAAGGTACTGACACAGTATATGGAACTCATGGACTCCAGATTTGTTGGTGAGAACCTGCACATTCTGTCAAAGTAATTCGTAAGCTTCGGGGGGATGGGGAAGGGTAGGCGGGTTGGTGGGTGGGTGCAAAGGAGCGATGCGGGAGGGGTTTGTGTGCTGGCAAGAAGAATCCCAGATCGTTGGGCTGTGACAATGGATGGTCACAAGTTCGATCCCTCGTTGGATGATCACCACATTGCCTGATCCCCTCATTGGGAACAAGAACTCACTGCGTGTGCATCTGAGTGGTTTTGTGGGTGATATGGAAATTCACGTTTACATATTGGAAATGAAAATTCACATCTATATTTGTATTGGAAAATTCATTTTTTCAAAAGGTGTGAGAATTCCTCCTGTCAAATGAGCACTCATTCACCTAGAGTGCCCTGAAATTCAGGGTCAGGCCCCGCCGGTGCTATCGTGGGGGCATGCATCAATATCAGGCCAGATAGATACTTTGTGTACATTCAGTATCGGGGTGTGTCGTGTTTGGGGGAAGACGGTACAAATCTTGCTCCTGAATCCTGGATCTGACCTTAAAAGTGGCCAGGTTCCCGCTGTCCTAGCACCAATATAGAGACATCAGTGGGGCCTGGCCGCGGCTCTCTTGTCAAATAAGTCTTTCGCCTAGAATGGCTTGACATAACGGGCGTGGCCCCAGTGACACTATGTTAGTGGCTAAAAACCCGTGATCCTGACCTTAAATGTGGCCAAATTGCTGCTCGCTTAGCGAGACGTCTGTGAGTCAGTGTGCACCCTTGCCCTCAAATCTCTGATAAAACGCTGCCGCTCTTTCACCCATGATGGGCTTATGTGAAAGGCACACTTTCTGTCATCAATTATAAAGACTGCTGGGGAGAAACCAGTAAGCACAGCATTGAGATTAAGATCCCGAAGACCAACATATGAGAGCCGGTAAAGGGCACGCCTGCAACTGTGATTTGACGACTGTGATTTGGCAGCATCTCGACCCCAACCTTACTTGTGTACAGTACCTGTGTCGGCCCGTAGAGTTGAACCTGTGACCTGTGTATTTGTAACAGCTGATAGGTTGTCGTAGGGTCCATGGTAGCATGGGTTCGATCTGTAGACCTGTCGGATAGGAGTCTTAGTCAGGTCTAGACATCGTAGCTGTAGTTTCTTGAAAGGTCAAGGTCGTAGCTGCTATAGTCCAGAAGGGTCAGAATCGTAGCTGCTACAGTCCCGAAAGGCCAAGTCTACGGCCTTCCGGAAGGTCCCAGTAGTGGCCTTTCGGAGTTGTCCACGTTTAAGCAGAGGCAAGTGGTCAAGTGGTGAGGCAAGTGGGCAAGTGGGGGAAGTCTACCCTGGTGATGATATCTTAGTTTTTAGTAAGACGCTCCAGGAGCATCAGGGTCATCTGAGGCAGGTCTTGGAGAAGCTACGAGAGGCTAACTTCAAGATCAACGCGAAGAAGTGCGAGTGGGCCAAGACGCAAGTCCTGTACTTGGGCCACATATTAGACGGAGATGGCATTAAGCCAGAGGACAGCAAAATTGCGGCGATTAGAGATTGGCCGACGCCCCGCACATTGACTGAGTTGCGGTCGTTCCTAGGCCTAGCTAACCACTACAGGAAGTTCGTGAGGAACTTCTCCACTATCGCCGCTCCCTTGCGCAGGTTGCTAAAGAAAGAGGCAATCTGGCAATGGGACAAGGACTGTACGTCTGCGCTCAAGAAGTTAAAACGCGCGCTAATAGAATATCCTGTCCTCAAAGTTGCAGATCCGTCTTTGCCATTTGTAGTCATCACGGACGCGAGTCAGTATGGGATAGGCGCCGTGTTGCAGCAAGACGACGGCAATGGCTATAGACCCGTAGAGTTCATGTCAGCGAGGATGCCCTGTGAGAAGGTCGCTACCTCCACGTACGAGAGATAACGCTACGCTCTCAGGCAGGCTTTAGACCATTGGAAGCATTACCTGTTTGGGAGGCACTTCAAAGTGTATTCGGACCATGAAACGCTTAGATGGTTAAAGACTCAGGCCAAGATGACACCTAAGTTGACTAGGTGGGCCGCAGAGATAGACCAATTCGATTTTGAGCTCAAGCCAGTGAAGGGCAAGTACAACGTAGTTGCGGATGCTCTGAGTAGGAGATCCGACTACTTTGGAGCCGTAGTACACTATCTGGATATAGGGAGAGACCTGCAGGATAAAGTGAAGCAAGCGTATGCACCGGACCCTATTTATAGCGACCTCCTAAAGAGAGTTAGGGAGGCCCCAGAGACTGAACCAGATTACCGCACTACAAATGGGTTGTTGTTTCAGAAGACTAATGTGTTTGACCGCCTGTGCGTTCCCAACAGCGAGGAGATCCGTAGTTTAATCTTAGGGGAATGCCACAATACTAAGGGACATTTCGGTTGGCAAACGACATTAGCCGATCTAATGTGTGCGTATACCTGGCCAGGAATGAAGAATGACTGCGTAGAGTATGTCCGCAGTTGTAAAGTATGCCAGCGTAACAAGACTACTACACGCGCACCCCTTGGTCTTCTTGCCTATTCCAGATCAGTCGGGAGACTCAGTGTCCATAGACTTCATGGACACCCAAGTCAAGAGCAGACATGGTAAGAGCCAAGTCATGGTCATAGTTGACCGCTTCAGTAAATACGCAGTTTTTGTTCCTTTGCCTTCAGAGGCACGTACAGACTTAGTGATACAGAAGTTCTTTGACTTTTGGGTTAGTGAGAATGAAATCCCACTGTCAATAGTTAGCGATAGGGATAGTCGCTTCACCAGCCAGAACTGGCAAGAACTCATGAGAGTATATGGGTCTAAGTTGTTGATGTCGTCTGGCAGCCATCCTGAGACCAACGGTCAAACGGAACAGATGAACAAGATCCTACAGCAAGTTCTGCGCATGTACATTAGACCAGATCAGGTCAACTGGGATGAGATGTTGCCTAAAGTAGCTAGTGCGTACAACAACAGCGTGCATCTATCCACCTGCCGCACTCCCAACGAACTGCACAAGTCCTTTAGACCACGCAGACCGTTCGAGGGACTGAACCGGGATCAGATTCGCAGACTACCGCCCGGTACCAGGGAGTTTGCAATACAGCACGAGAGAGAATTAGCAACTGTTGTTGAGAACCTGAGAAAGGCCCAGCATAGGATGATAGAACAAGCTAACAAGCACCGTCGCCCATCACAGTTTCAAGTAGGCGACTTAACCTTGGGGAAGGCTTAACTGTCAGACAAGCCCAGTGATTGGTTCAATATTACCCATCCCCTTCCAATTCTACTTCCCTGAGCAAAACGCAGGTAACAACAGTCCCATTATTCCTCTCAGTTTTTTGGTATGAACTGTCAACAAATCCTTCAGCTCTAGGATATGGCAGTTGAAAAAGTAGCCGTGGTTTGAGATCACCCTTACTGGCAGTTAAAGTGTAGATGCAAAGAGAGTAGAAAGCTCAGAAAAGTGTAGATGGTCATCAGGAAGGAAAACGAAAAAAGAAAAGTGTAGGTTCTGAGCAAGAGTCACGGCAATTCAAGATGCTATGGGGCATCATCTGACCTACCTTCTTTATCGTGTTTATGTGTTTTCTTTTGCGGGGGGTTGGGGTGGGGGGTGGGAGGGGGTGTGGGGGGGGAAGGGGTAGAAATCAGATCGTCTGCGGCAACTGAATGGACTGGTGGAAGATATATCAAAGACAGCCTTGAGGACTGGTCCTCGTGGGATCCAACGGTTGTTCCAAGGGGTTGAAGCAGCGGCAACAGTTGGAGCACAGTGGCTGTCGAAACAGAGGCGTTCCACGCAAGAGACTGCAAACATTACTCTGCCTGGCCCAGCTGAACTGCGGAAGTTCTTTGAGCGTATGGGTGCCACATACATCAAATTGGGACAGGTGGGTCATGGTTTCTTTGTGTCTGGGGGGGAGGGGGATTTTATTCTGGGCAGGGTGCTGGTGGCCTGGGGGAGGAAGAGGGGGCCTCAGTTCCCTGCCTTTTCCATTTCCAAGTTGGCCTTCTGAAGCGATTAGCTTATCATTCAGTGAAGATAGAGAAAAAATTGTAGTTTACCCCTGAAGCAGCAGTGACATGCTTTTTCTGATCGTAATTGGCTCTGCATACCAGACACAGCCCAACTTGTCCTTACGCCCCTGGAAACAGACTGCCAAAATTGTCACTCACCGTGTATGTTCTATGGGTACTGTTCAACTTATCAACGCAAGCGGAAACCGGTAGTGGCACACAAACAGGGGAAGGAGTCAAAGGAAGTGGAGTGGGGTGCTTGCAGCTTCAGGATTTTAACTCGAGACCTGTTTATCACACAGAGGGGGGGGGAAAAGGCAAATCTCACTTCCCAAGGTTCCCATGCAAAATCCTGTTCACATCAAAGCGGTTTCTTTTATCGTTCAAGATTTTTTTGAACTCATAACCTGTTTATGAGAAGCTACATGCGTGTACGATTCAGTATTTGAAGTCACTGGGTCTTCCCCAATACCATCAACAGTCACGCGAGACCAGATTCTTCCTTTAGGGATTAGGATCAGGGATAAAGAGCTTCATGTGTGCACCATTCAGCATTGAAAATCACTGCGTATGCCCCCGAACCAACCAACATCGCCAGAGTTTTTCGTTAAGCCATCTATACCTCCGAGCCTCTTTTTTCCCGACTTTTTGTCGAACTGGCATGGGCATGAAAGCAATGTTTTTTGGCTGGTGAAGCCAGCCCTTTTCGTTTCGGTAGGCATAGCGCTCAGGGATTAGCAGCTACATGTGGGGACCTTATCCTCTCCCATATCCCACATCCCGTGTGTTCACTGATATTACGGTGAGGATCGCATGTCAAAACAGCACACTGTTGGCACATTATGCCGCCAGAACTTCTGAGCCCTGAGTATTGCGATCGTCATGGATTGTGGCTCCTTTATTAGCCGTGGTTAGAACAGGGTTGAAGCAGTGCAGTTAAGTATGATGCAACAGTGGAAGCCCAATGAATGAGAGAGCGAGGAACAGTCTGTCTGAGGATTTGTTTCGCATGTTGGGTATGAGTTGAGAAGTTATCCGATCACAAACTTGTATTGATTTGCATTGAATGTTTCTGCTTCACCCTTTACCCTGGTCTTTGTGTGCATGGACTTAGTAGCAATTAGCTGAGCAGTTGATGAACTCTGCGTAGCTGTGGAACAGTGTAATTGGCAGGAACCATGCTTTTTCTGACTGTTGTGGCATTTCACTTCACCGGGCTTTACAAGTGCCCTGTGTTTTTCCTATTCATCGTTGTTGCAAAGCAACGCAGCTTGTTGAGCTTTGCCTGACTTTACAACTTACAATCTTCCCTCTGTTCGATTGATTGGCCTGTTTATGTGTTTCCTTCTGTTTTTTGGGTATGGGGTGCAGTTCATAGCCTCCACACCAACGTTGTTCCCTGATGAGTATGTGCAAGAGTTTCAGAGCTGCCTGGACCAGACCCCTCCTGTGCCATTTAATGACATTAAGGAAACTATTAGGAAGGATCTAGGTCGCCCACTTGAGCAAATCTATGAATACATTGATCCCACTCCTCTTGCATCAGCATCAATTGCCCAGGTATGTTGTCAATCACCCGTTACCTGTTCTTAATGTTCACTGTGGTGACACCCACCTACTGACCTGCTGTCGTACTGCCTTTCTACATGCCTAGCTACCAACGTGGATGTGGTCCTCTCGTCATCCGTCTGTTATTTGCCCCTCCGTTTGGCCAATTGTCAAGCTCTTGTGTGTTCCTCCTTCCATCTCTCCCTCCATACCTCCTATCCCTCCCTCCTCCCTCCCCCCTCCTCCCTCCCTTGCTCCCTTCCTTTCTTCCTCCCTTCCTCCCTCCCTTTTTCCATCTGTTCCACTCTCAATCTGTGTCTCTGTCCATCCATCTGAATCTTCCTCCCTCCCTCCCTCCCTCCCTTTCTTCCACCCTGCCTTCCTGCCTGCCATTCTCCCTGCGTTACACCTTGCTGTGTTCATCCCTGCCTCCCTTCCTGCTTCCCTCCCTTCCTCCCCTCCTCCCTTCCTCCCTTCCTCCCTTCCTCCCTTCCTCCCTTCCTCCCTTCCTCCCTTCCTAACTCCTTCCCTCCGTCCGTCCCTCCCTTAATCTTGTTCTGCTCCGGCACTCTGCTCCCCAGGGGTTTCCAGCCTGCCCCCCTTTTCTCTGTCCATGTATGCCTCCTTCCTTCCTCCTGGAAGGCGAGCTCATTGTGCCAGGCACGGCCTTGGTGGTTGTACCATAAATTAAGTGATACGACCCCCACTTGAAAGGCCTTTTCACGTCGCAGACCCAAAATTTGAATTTCAGGGTCAAGGTCCCCAAGTCAAAAAAGGGCGACAGGCCGAAACTGAAAAGTTGTCGCGTCGGGTATCCAAGGGGCAGAGGTCAAACTCGACAAGTCAGGTCCCACAGTCCAAAAATGCAGCAGCGCTCCAAGGAAAGGTCTGGAATGTACCGGCCCAATATTCCAAAAGCAAACAGGCCGTGGGCAACCGGTACCAGCCAAGTCAAGCCCAGACCAAGTGAAGAAGAGGCCAGTGAAGCCAGGGCCCAGTCCAAGTCAACAAGAAGAGTGGCCCAGCCTCATTCGGGCAGATTGCTCATTCGCGTGGCACGCAGTAGAGGCTGAGAGAGAGTTCGCGAGAGAGAGGAAGAGAGGGAAAGAGCCAGTGAGGTTGTGTGCTGCAAGCCGAGAGGGGGAGAGAGAAGAGTTACAACACCTAATCTGTATAATATGAAGTTGCGCTGATGAGCGCTTTGTGACACAAACTCAGAATCTGTATAATATGATGTTGTGCTGATGAGGGCCTGATGACTCAAACTCTGGTTATGTATAATTGTGGCATACTGCATACCCACACGGGCCCTGCAGGGCCCGTCCCGGACATTCAGCCTAAAAGCCTAAAACTTAGGGCTTACAGGCCCCGTTCATTTCAGCCTGGATGCTGAAAAACGAGGGCCTGCAGGCCCTACCTCGTTTCAGCCTATTTCTGGGTCTTTTCAGACCCAGAGTTTTCAGCCTGAAACGGAGGGCCATTTTCAGGCCCTCATTGTTTCGACCTGCCCCTAAGACTCAGGCACGGAAACAGGGATGCGGAACAGGCCCACAATAGCCTGTTCCTCACGTACTCGAGCAGGAGCTGCAGCTGCAGCCCCTGCCTCCCTTCGGCAGGCTCAAGAGGCACACCCGTAGTACATAGGAGGTTTCCATGCACTTCACGGGTGGGTAGTGTTCAGTAGGACGAGTAGTCTTCAGGATTCGGCCGCAGCACTCAGGAGGAGCGCTGCAGTAGTCTTCAGCG